GATTTCTGTTGTAGTTTATTGCTCCTATGCAAACTGGTATTTTTAAGGCTGTAGTTACGCCCGTTTAGAGCGCTGAATATGATCTGTCAACTTAAGCGAGTACTTTGGTCCGAATGGTCTGGGAGGTTCCCCTTAGGGCTATTCCATTTTCCTTTTTTCGTTAGTCCCTTGTTGGTTACTGCTTATCTTAACTGTAGGTCCTTGTCACTGTAAACCGGTGCCGCTACCAGGTGGTGTCTTTGTTGAAGCTTATGACGGTTTTGTTAATATCTTTTGTTTGCCTTGGATATTTGTATAATTGTATTTTGTAGGATATTGTGGCTGACTCATTTTGACTTGAATCAGCTTCAAGTAATAAATCTGTGTATTGACAACTTTGCTTTTCTGGCTGTCCGTTCAAATTCATAGCCACTGTTTCAAACGGGGACAGGGATAGGAACCACAGCGCTAGATGCGAAACAGTCCAGTGTTTTCCATGTCCTGCCTTTGAAAGTGAGACACTTGAAATCTGCAGTCAGTCGGGATATATTCCATGCTGACCAGCGTAGCTAATTTGAAACTGAGATACCACTTTATACTATCAGTTCTACATGAGAATAAAGCTGTAAGAACGACTAGGTATGACTAGTGTGGCAGAAGGCATCTCATTCTTCATACGTTAAAAAGAGAAAAGGAAAGGGCCAAGAAGAGCACCGCGTGCTAGACTATAATCAGCGGTTTTGGTAACAGTGAGTTATTAAGTAGACGACGTTTAAGGTGACTACTATTGGCATCTTTTTACAAACTAGAAATTCGGTTCAGGTAATACAGCAAAAGAAACCTTTGTTTTGGATGGCGATTTTCAAAAAGTAGCAGGAGAGCAGAACTCTTTAAAGTTCCCAGCCTGTTTCAGATTCCGATTTTGAAGTTGCTGACTCGTTTAATAATTGAAGTCAATGTGGGTCTCAACTCAGTCTCACTGTTACACAGAAGAAAAGAGACAACGAAAATCTACAATATAAGTAATGGAATAACGGGTATTGAATAAAACAGTCACGGAAATTATCAACAGCTAGGCTGTGAGGAAGTCTCATCAAGTGTAAAAAAAGAATAATCTTCACAATCTTGTAACAACAAGGTATTGCCACTTAAGGAACAGTAACCAGTGTTTGATTCCCTTCTCCTGACAATCAGCCCCCCTCTTACATTCCATCTTGTACTACAGTAATTATTAATTGTTCCTAATTGACACTCAAAAAAACTATATATCAAAAACTTCTTGAAGAAAGGTTACTGAAGAGGGGGAGGATAAAATACTGATATTAATGAAGGGCTAATAAACAACAAATCAAAACCTACTCCAACTACATCAACATTTAGTAAAACTAACAAGTTACACGTGCAACAAGGAAACCAATAATATTTAAAATCCACTTTTTTAGTTAACATTATTACTTCCTTAAGGTCTCACGACCTTTACCCACTTCGGTAATTTCGCTCTGAACTTACGGAACTCTGTATCTCAAGAAGAGGAAGTTCGTCCAAAAAATACCTCTCTACCTCCTCCCTGTCGTTTATAAAAAAAAAGTAGATGCTTTTGTAATAAATAACAGTGTAGAGCCCAGCTCCAATATCATTCTTTGAGCAAACATCCACAACTTGTGTTCGGTCATTCAGAAGTAGTTGCAGCCGATGCAGAATGCAATAAACGGCCTGAGGAGCTCTGAGCCTGAATTAGAAAGAGACAATTACTCACAAAACGGATTTCAATTTTTTTTTTTTTTTTTTTTGAAGACTCGGCCCAATGACCGAAATTAACCATTCATAACATTTCAATAATCCTTGCAAAACTACACTACCAGTTGGTCCTAACTGTATATGGAATACGCTAACAACAAAATCAAGTCAAAAAATTTTTTTAACTCAAGCCAGCATGGAAAATTCAAGCTTTTGGGAGCCCCGAAACTCATTAATACTTTCTTGCAGAAAACATACCGTCGTCTCGCGCTCACTAGCTGAAGTTGGGCTCTCGCTACTGGACCTCTTGCAACACGTGACATCTGTCCTCCAACAGTTATCTGGCGGACAGGCTAGAGCGCAAGTTGAACCGCCGGACCCTAATGTGTCCATCTAAAAGTAGTAGTGAGCTTTTAATAAAAAACCCTTCATTTTCCTCATTCTGTCGGTCAAGAAAAAAAAAACCGAGAAAACCCACCTCACTAAACTCTGGTTGAATAGTTGTACTGTGAATAGAATTATCGTGAAACAATGTCCTTATTTCATCAGCTGCAGCCAAATATGCTTTAAGATCAGAAAAACGTATGTGCACAGTAGCGATAATTCTTTCTCCAACTAAACGCCAAACATGAAACTCATGCACCGCTTGAACCCCATTCACCTTAAAACAGCAGCAATAATTGCTATGAAATTGAGGAAAAATGTTGCCATCATCTTACTTTTGATCTGCTGTACTCAAAACATGTGGAAGGATTCTCCACTTTTGAAATACGTAGGAAAAAAAAGCTTTGTTCTCACCAAAATTAAAAAGTTACAGTTCGAACTACATGCGCTAAAAGGATGTCAGCTAAACAATGGTTTCAAACCTTTAACAGAGAATCTCGAATTTTTTCTACTTTAACAAAGCCTGGAGTGGTCTGCATAAGAATTAGAGCGGTCTCACGTACCAGTGGTAAGGTAGAAGCGACCAAAAGAAATACCATTGCTAAGCTAAACTGTAGTACAATAAACTACAAAGTAAAAACAAGGTTAGAAATTTTAAAAACCACAAAAACTGTCAACAAAATAACTGCCCTCCCTCTAAAGCAACTTGAGGTTGATGTGATTCTCAGTAATCAAGGGATAATGAAACGGTTTTAAATAGCTGAACTGCATCATAAATTAGCTTGAAAAATCCAACAACAAGAAATTATAAGCAGTAGTCTACCTCAGTCCTGGATCTAAGTAAAGTTTTAAAGCATCATGGCCAGGAACAAGCCAAGAAACCAATGAACTGATAATAACAATGACGGACCCAAGTGCATCGCTGAGGACATGAAGAAAAATCCCACGCATGTTGAGCTGTGCAGCTTTAGCTTCAAAAACGGATAAGTAAATGCTATTTTTCCGTGATGACTCCAAAACAATAAGGTGTAAAAAAGACTGGTCTTTTCTATTAAAATTAGTAAGAAAAACATTCGGATAAAGGTCTATTGAAAACATGAAAAGTTTCGTACTGTAAATAATGTTTTGTTCCTCATAACGTGAAAAAAATTATTTAGCTTCGCAAAAGAAATTATTTTGCAGTTGGTTTTAAAAGCTAGATACCATGTTTCGGCTTGCTTTTTTTCGCAGTAGCTTCATCCGGATCAATATCACCTGTTGGCATAATTTCTGATTCCCCCATATCGATTGTAACCTCTTCATTCAACTGTGCCAAAGCCATTGCACAATCCTTCAAAACGGAGTAAAGTAGTAAAAGACTTCGATTGAGAAAATAAGACATTGGAAAAAAGAGTAAGACAAAATTTTTCTTAATCTCCAAAAATAATTCAAAACAAAATCAAAATCAGATGGGACCTGATGAGAAGACATGAGGTGTTTGCTTTCCAGATCACCAATCGTCGCATGAGCCAGTCTTTTTGGTTCTGCACTAGCTACCGCATCGCGATTACCATGGTTGTGCCCGTGCCCATGACCTAAAAAGAAAATACTCACAGTAAATCTGAACAAAGAAGTTATTGAAATGACCACGCATTTTTCACAGTCCGACTTATTCTTCCTACGTAACTATCCATTTAAAAATTCAATTGGCAGCGAGAATGATGTGCAAATGATGATGTAACTCACTGTGAAACATAAACATCCCGATCAGATTAATGATAAGCCCAATAACTCCAACGACTAAAACCTGCGCCGGATTCCTTATGTAGTCAGGTTCAATAAGGCGAGTCATAGATTCAATGAATATTGAAAAACAAAGAGCTAATAAAAAAACACCGTTAACGAGAGCACCAAGAACTTCGGCTCGTACCCAACCAAAAGTATTTTTCTTTGACGACTTAACAGACATCTAAATGTTTTAATTTTAAGATTTTATATATGTAAATACAAAACCTGTTCGCTATTCCCAGCTCGGCTTTTATGCTTACTTTCAAGCAACCATAAGCGATCGCGAGAGCTAAAACATCACTAAGCATATGAAAAGAATCAGCCACAAGAGCCATAGAATTAGATAAGTATCCAAAACCAATCTCGACAACGAAGAACAAGAAGGTCATTAATAACATGATAATTATCCTACTCCCTCCTTCACTCTTTTCCCTATTACGAGGATGCTTTTTGTTCGCCGTTTCATCTAAACATGTTTATCATTATGTCAGTAATTAATAGAAGTGTGTTATGGCCGAAGCAAAAATTCATCAAGTAAAATCAAACATTTACCGTGTCCACTAAAAACAAAAAGTCTTTCCTTATCAACGCTCTTAGTTGATTTTCGGCCATTCTCCTTCACTGCC